GAAAGGTGCACCCCGTGTCTAGAATGCAATTTTTATCAAATTCCCCCTTAGACACATTCATGACGTGTAGACTATCAAATTCAAAAACAACAACAGCATTGTTTTGATTAGTATTGTTTAAGTCTCTTTGTTTTTCTTTCCAGTCAAACCAATCTTTCTTGAAATGCCCTAACTTTCTACAGTTGTAGCATTTCTTACCACTTTTATCTTTAGGTTTGGATCGCATTTTAGATTTACCCCTTCCCTTCTTGTTATGAAAGTTGAATTCTTTCTTTTCAGGTCTTCCCCTAACAAACAAACTTCTTTTTTCGAATTAGTTTTGTTGTCTCTTTTTAGTTCAAGTTCTCTAGATTTCAACGCATCTATCACAATAGCCTGCGACATAGTATCCCTACCATATTTTATAGCATTTCTGATTTCTTTATAAGATTCATGAAGTACATTTAACAGTATGACAACTACATCCTCATCATCGAACTTCTTATCATTATGAGCTAAACTATTAACAATTATGCTGTAATCTCTTAAATTCCCTTCTATATCCTTCCCCNTTTCACTCATCAGAAAAAGTTGAAGGATCATCGAGCGCTTTAGCAACTCTCTGTTGACCTAAATGGCCATCATTTTCTGTAGCCAAATTGAGTAGTCCCCATTTCCATCGAATTGGAATAATTCGACACTCGAACCCATTCTGGATTCCAAAAATGAAGCACAACAATGAATCAATTCGATCACTAAACTTCAGTGCGATGTTTGCAGGTGTAATCCAAAACTCAGGCAGTGAACAGGTATACAATACAAGTAAATATGCTTTTCAGGTTACAACTCATTCACAAGAATCCAGTCAACAGAATTCAAATGCAAGTAACCCAGCAAACATGTATAAAACCAAGGTAGATTACCAAACATAACTCCAAGATTAGTTTGGAACGATCTTACCCATTAACTGTGGGAAAACAGTAATTATACCAATAATTCCTCACTCAAGTGAGCCAGCCAAAGCGTCCAGGATCACCCAATCCAGCCACCAACATACACACAGAAAATAACCACAAATCAGTATCTAATTAGAGGACTAAAATGCTAAACAGAGATACCACTCAACCCAAAACAACGAAGGATAAACAAGCCCTAGACCTAAACTAGGCACTGATACCAGATGTTAGGGAAAACATAGCATATATAGACTCCAAACCAATGCTAACAGAGTTCAATAGCTCCTAATCAGATTCTTCTCGGTTACAAAATATATAGCATAATAATCCAACATTTTCATATCAGATATATTAATCAACAGACAGCAGAAATCATAAAGAATTGAGGACTGGACATCATAAAATTGACATAAATAAACAAGACAGAATGTATATATATCAAGGTATTGAAATCAGAACTTAAATAAAGGCAGAAATCTACTTCCCTTCTATCGGCCGGAGCACACCGTTCTTACTCCTATTTTAGGTTAAAATGCTTAGGCTTAGGAACAGCCTTCCATGCCATGCAATTCACTATCCAAAGAGAGATAAGAGCCAACCATAGTTTCCAACAACTTGGCTAAGGTCTTTGATCCAAATGAATCTACCAAAGCAGCCAAGAACCCCTAAAATCTGACCTAAACCCTCGAGAATAAACCAATTAACTCAACCCTATTTCAGGTCTGAGCATCACACAGGTATTCCCTCAATAATAGGCTACTAAGGTCAATTTTAGTTTACTGCCAAGAAGGAAGAAGAACAGCATTCGACAGAGAGAGAGAGAAAAAACGGGGCAGCTTCTGGAAGAAGAAAGAAGAACCTTTCAATTGCCAAGGCCCAAGTAAAAATATAAAAGCTAAGATTTAATCCCAACCTTGGACTAAATCTAAGGGTCGAAAATGGTTCCAAACAAACACACAATCCGGGTCATACTAATGCCACCAATAAGTGAGTGTCACTTATGCAACAATAGTAATGGGTAAGTATCAATAGAAATGTATCAGCCCAATAAAGTGTTAGGAGAACCGCTTAAACCCAAATAAGCCCACAACTTAATTGGCCACATTTTTTGAGATGATAACAATTTAAAATAAAAATTTTTCACCTCATTTTTTTAGGGGGCATGGCCAATAGATCTCGAGTCTTGCACATTAGGACAAATCGTTAGAGCACGTGGCTAATATTCAAAGGTGGGGGAGGTGGCCGCACACACTTCGATGGTCAAATAAGCCTTCGTAAAAGTAATATTTGGGATTAGAAAGTGCTTAAGACGTGAGCCACTTAAGTAAGAGAGATCGGATCGGGGGATTGTAGAGACCAAGATATAGTTTACAAAAGTTGTATGTTGAAAGAATAAATTTGCATTACCTTTCAAATGGCACAATGTGTGATCGTTTATAATAAAAGTTGAGAAACAATCATCATTGGATGAAGAGACACGTGGGCTCATCCTAACGACCGAAGCCTTTTCATAGGCGTCATTTTGTCAATCCTACTTTCAGATGCATTTAATATTCTAACAATTTGCAGTCTTATGGCCTAGGTTGTGGATACTAGACTTGACATGTTGACTTGGTAGAGTGGCTATTATAGTCAGTTGTCATCAATCAATTTTGATAGATTTTGTTTAAAAGATCATCTTCAGCACCTCTACCTATCTCACCTCATCCATGAGGTTCGGCTATTCATATGGGTTTGGCTTTATCACATGGGTTTGATCTTTCTATAGGGATTCTTCTCTTCACGGGGGTTCGACGAAAATTGTCATATGGGCAAAATGACATAGTGTGGGCTTAGTTTCGCTTGTTGTGTGATTGCCACGCGGCCATGTTTAGAGTTATGATGGAAGATGTGTAACAATAGTCCCTCAAGTCCATATACGAATATTCATATAACATGTGGACTTTTGAGTTGAAATATTTTATCTTGTTCATGTCACGTGTTCTACTTTTAAACTACTTGCTAAGTATTATGGGCCATACAAGATGATACAAAAATTTGAGAAAGTGACTTATAAGCTGGAATTACTAGCTAGGGAGAAAGAGGTGCCAATTTATGCACTCCAAGATCAAAGTAAGAGCAAAGAAAATCACGCACAACCACTTCAGTCCTATCTACAAGGTTGGTTAATAAAAATGGCC